AATTCTTCCCCAGATTGCAAGCAGAGAGATGGCACTAAGATATCTCCAACAGATCTTGTTACCAAAAGCAAAACCAATGAAATAACATCTGTCTCTTCTAGAGCATTCAATTCCAAATTCAATTCCATTTACTCCATCCTTAGAGTGGAGCACCCGCAGGGCACTTGTCATCTAATAGTGTTTCTATGGAAACGCCATTCGCAACCTGGAAGATTCTACAACCCTTCGCATTGGCTTTATCCACAATGAGAGGGAAGCCTCATAAATCAGAAATAGAGACGTAAATTTGGCCACACACACTACAAATATTTTCCAGGCTGGAAGTTCACAAACAAGCAAGCACACATTGGCAAACGTGTGTATCTGACTTAGAAATAGTTTGTCTCTATAGTAAGGCTTAGCCCAACGGAATCCTCAAAATCAGTGAAAGGATGGGGAGCTGAAGAGAATATGAAGGAAAACCAGTTCACCTTCAGGATCACTGCCCCTGAGTGGTCAATGCCAAATGTGTCCCCCCCGACCACTTTCTCCACCTAACACTGCAAGCATGTCCTCTACTTTCCCTGACTTTCAGGGTTCTTGGGCCACACAGCAGTTCCATGCAGGAAAATACAGTCACTGCATATTTTAAGTAAGAACCACATTAACCGCTTTTCTATTTAGATTATGCTTAAAACTGCAATATTTTAGGGAAGGAAAACAAAAAGGAAAAGACCTTTGATTTTAACCTTAAACACTGTCTTTATCCCTTTTCTTGATTTTCACTAGGCCCTTGTGCACAAATTTTTGTGACCAAAAGCAAACCAAACCCATTGTTACTGAGTCAAATTCTGACTTATAGTGACCCTATAGGACTGAGTAGAACTACCCCATAGAGTTTCCAAGGCTGTAAATCTTTGCGGAAGCAGACTGCCGCATCTTTCTCCTGCTGTCTCCTGCGAGGTGGCTGGTGGGTTCGAATCCCTGACCTTTCAGTTAGCAGCCGAGCATTTAACCATTGAGCCACCAGCGCTCCTCAAATTTTTATAACACTAGGTAGCAAAAGAACCGGTAATATGCAAAACACATTCAGCTTAAGTACTGTGACATGGTAGGGTCTGTTTACAGTTGGAACAATGCCCTCAAGAAGGAAAAAGAAACCTTGATGTGTCATATGCCCTTGATCTAATTAACTGTGACTATACAGTGACTCATATGCAAATATTAAGTACTTTTTAATTGTTTGCAATCATTTATCTTCAGGCAAATGCAAGCATTCCTATTAATAAATGCTTTTGTTTTCTTCCTAATTCTCTCTGATTATCTAAATAATGTCAGTCACTCTTTCAGTCACAGGGAGTCATTTCTTTTAAGAGCCCTTCTCTTCTTATCAAAACTGGCAAATGTTCAACTAAGTCGAAGCTAGAAATTTGCATCACTGAAATTTCCTTTTACCCCATAATCACCAAAGTTTAAAGCCTGTTTCCTTTTTCTTTTATTGTTTCCATTATATGCAAGTATGTCCAGTTTAGCTGGCAGGAGACTGTGAGTCCAAGAACGAGGCTTTAGTTCGCTCTTTGGAGTAGTAAAATGTGCTACCGGTTAAAGCTACCTGTGAATAACTACAGAATGGCATATTTTTCTTCTCATGCAGCTAGGGTGCAAATCCAGTAAGGTTTTTTTTTTTAATTCAGGCCTATGCTGCACCTCTAACATACAAATGCTTGAAAGCGCTTTCAAAGGCAGATTTTTTTTTTTTTAGGAGAATATATCCAGTGAAAGGATTGACCCATTTATTTAAAAAAGAAAAAAAATAGCAATTTGTTTTCAAAAAAGTATGTGAGGGTTTATAATATGCCTTTTGGCGTTTAAAAAAAGATTAGCTTACAGTTTGCTAATAAATCGTTATTGCTGTGGTTTTCATTAACCAGAATTTCAATTGCTCTTTTACATCTAGCAAGATTTCAGAAAGAATTTTCTAGAAAACAAATTGTATTTATCATCTAGCAATAATGTGATCATTTAAAATTGGTACCCAGTCGTCCAAATGAGTTTTGCACTCCTAAAGACCTCTCAGGGCTTGAGATAAAGTTCCCAAAAGATTAGTTTTGAGATGTCAGTAGTTACTTACATTTGGGCAAACCACAAACCTCTCTTTATAGTCTTCAGTTTCCCCACAGCATTTATTAGAATCAGCTCCTGACTATAAATATTACCAAAGGAGTCCATGCATTCCTAGAAGGAATATATCAAAATAAGGGAGAAGGGTGCCCCTTTGGAACTCAAGATCTATTTGCTCTTGTACTTAAAGAACAGGGAAGGGAATCTTTTTCCTTGAGGGAAGGAAACGGGCAAATCAATTACAAATTTAAATATATCTCCTTACTTTGCTTTTTAGATGCTGTTAATGAGAGCAATTCGATTTTTCAGGGATGGTTATCATAGTCATTATTTCTATATGAGGTAGATAGCATTGAGGAATGGGTACTAGTACCAGTTGCCACAGAGTTGACTCCAACTCACGGCGAGCCCATGTGTGTTAGAGTAGAAATGTGCTCCACAGGGTCTTCAAAGACTGATTTCTCAGAAATAGATTGCCAGGCCTTTCTTTCTAGGTGCCGCTAGGTAGACTCAAACCTCCAACCTTTTGGTTAGCAGCAGAGTGTGCTAACTGTTCCCACCACCCAGGGACTTCATAGAGTGGATAGGGAGGGTATACATATCCAGTGGAAACCATAAGCAACTTCTATGAGGCATTCATAGAAAGCTAGGAGACATGGAAGAATGGACTTCCCCTTCAGGGCAGTGGCACAGGCCAGCAAGGACCCCAAAACTGAAGGAAATTAGCCAGGTCTCAAGAAACCAGGCAGTTAACGAATAATTTCTAATACAGTTGCTCAAGTAACATATGGTCCATATAGTCATTGCAATGCAGGTAAAATCATGCTAGCTGTAAAAAGTTTTTTTTTTTTTTTTTTTTAAAGAAAATAATATAGCTCTCTGCAAGTTTCTTTACAAGGGTACAGACTAGAAAAACAGAAAGTCTGGAGGACGAATAAAAGAGCTTGCTTTCTCTCTCTCCTGATTCTGTTTGAACCAATATTTGATTATATTTTATTCAGGGGCACCTCAGCTTCAAGTAAAGCCAAAGCTTCTTTACAGATTGAGGTGGAAGCTGAAGAAATCCATTCTTTCTTTCTTTTTTCCTGTTAGTATAAGAAGTAGAAATAGTTGGGTTGTGAATTCAGGCCAACCTGATTTTGCCGGCTCCTCATCCATCCCCCAGACCAGGTTAGCTGGTTAGCTCTGACAATGAAACATCAGCATGGCTGCATCACTGCCTTTAACCAACTGTCACTTCTTATCTCCTGATAATTTTAAATGCCATACTGTTTACTTTTTTCATGATATTCCCCCTAGACCCGTGTTTCCCCCCACCCCAGCTCAATAGTAGCTGATAATCCTCGATAGGAATCTTGGACGGGGCTGATCTCAAAATATCTACACATGTGCAACAAGCGTCAGATAAGTAGTGGTACCCGAACCAGAGTTCAGGAAAAGCTAATATGATGTTGAACTCTAACAGTCAAAACAGAATTTAACCCTTCAACTAACTACCAGCATTAACCAACCCCAAACGCTTGTTAAAAAACTGCCAACATGATCTAGTTGATCTTTTGAATGCTTGATAGGAGGGGAAGGGAAGGAGTTATTTTTTTAGCTACTCCTACTTCTCTTAGTTTTTACTGTATTCACTGGCAGTGGGAAATCTGGATTAATTTATACCCTCGAGTATTACTGGATGCACAGCCTCTATCTAGAGGCACAGAACCAGCATGGCCTTGGGACATTCCCTGAATTTGTTTCCAGGTATCATTGCAATTTGCTAACGGACGTGGCTTTCAAAGTGGGCAAGGATGTGAGGGTCAACAGGTTCTGGACGTGTTTGTGACAACACAGAATTTTTATATTTTTCGAAAATAAATGACATTAAGAAAAGCAATGTAGTCTAAAAATAGTAATATAAAAGGTTTGCTCCAGGCATTAAAATACAAAAGTTTTTAACATTCATTCATGTTAGGCTAGGCTAGGCTACGACCTGTCTAAATTCATCCTTTGTCCCTAATATCACGAGGCCCCCTGGTCAATGATTTTGCTGAATTTTAAAATATTATTTTACCCATAAATTTTCATTTTGTCTTCTTCCTTCAACATCAGTAAATCAGTATACGCTTATAAAAATATCCACCAAAATATTATGATTATAAATATTTTGAACATGAAATTCATTCAGAACAATAACCAAAGCAAACAAATCCCCCAGTGGCATAAGGCCCCAGATCTCCAGTTTCTCACATCTCCAGGAGAATTCCTGCAGTGAAAACAGCAATGCTCACACAGACAATATAAACTGTTACTCTGCTTGAAAAGTCACAGGGGACTTACACAGGAAGAGCTGACTCTATATTGCTGTTTTCCTTTACAAGTTCTAAATACAGGGACAACTTTCACTGTGCAGCTCTGATTCAGATGAAGGCTTTGTAATGGAAGCCAGTGTATTCAAACCATTTCAAAGCAAATTATGTGATCATCTTGCCATTGCAGCAAAATTTAAATATTTTTTGTGGATCATTCGCTATAAAGATCCACTAAAGCACTGGTAGATATTAAGTCTTTCTGGGGTTTGGCTGAATTGCTTCTCAGTGGGTGCTGGTTCCAAGTACTTAAGGATCACCCTTAGAAAAGCAACATTGTTAACAATCTTAAAATCAGAAGTGTATAGGAACCCCTAAACCTTAGTGCGTAACAAAATTGCAACAGTGAACTTCAAATAAAACTCCTTCATGGCGTATGGATCTGAAAAAACAAGTACTAACACTTTTGTAAAAACTGTGAGAACTCAATGATTTATGAAATATTCCAAGTCCAGAGGGATCTTTTTTTTTTTTTAATTTTGTTTTCTAGCAAAACTGGTTCATTGCCCATAGTTAGTTTACATACGTCATTTAGAATCCACTTACTGTTAGATGCTGGAACAGCCACGCCCTCATGATATTTGTGGCTACTTTGGGAAAGATGCCACGCTTTTTGTGACGCTTTTTGTCCTTATCTGGATCATCATCGTCACCTGTGCTGGGGGAAGCTACACTGTTGTCCAAGCCATCACCTGCAAACATAGTGAATCAAATTTTGACTGATACTACCTTGACATGCTTTATTCAAATAGAATGCCTTTGGATAGAAACAAAACCAAAAAAGCAATTTAAATGATTAATAGTGTCTTTGGTACTGTTTGTTTTTTTTTTTGCTGTTTTGTTCTGTTGTTTTTTTTCCTCCCAAGACAAAGAGAAAGAACAAGGCCCAGGGTCAACAGTAGTCAGTTCTAAAGAACTTCTTCCAAGGGACAGTGCTAAAAGGTCAAAGAGAATGGAGGGAAATATGCAGTCTCTTTAGTAGCTTTGTTGCCATAGTAATTATTCTAATGTGTAGAGCTAAGTCACATTCAGTGTAACTCCTGTTGGGGAGTTACATATGGTGGCAGCCTTTAAAGAGGTGCTGCCCGCCCTGGGTATTCAAATCCCACAGACAGTCACTGGCATCAACTTGTGAGAACATTCATTTAAGATATAAACTATTTCCCAAATGATCTCTTAAAACTAGTCAAAGTAGGCCATGAAAGTGTAGGCAATCCATTGTATAAATTGTTTGATATGGGGATGCTTCAAATGGGATATAATTTCTCTTGTAGTAGAAAAGAAGCATCAAGTTTAGTCGGGGAAAAATCCCTGAAATCATTTTTTTATTAGAAAATAACTATTACTTAAGTAAAATAATGTTAAATTAAGAGTAAATTAGAATATTGCACTAATAATCCAGACAGTTTCTAAAATTTCTTCAGATTAAATTTTTTCTCATTGAAAAATCACCTGCTAACACATTCCTGAATATTGCGTCCTATTTTCCTCTTGATTCATATTCTAAAATTTAAGTTGTCTCTTCTAAAAAATATTTTGGCTCCATGACACCATAAAATAAAAAATGTAGTAAGACTTTTACAATGCTATATTAAAAATGAGGAAAAATACAAAACATCAGCCCATATAGTCATACTATCCAAAGTAAGTCACAAGGTACAAATGGAATTTGTATTCCATTTTTGGTTTTGGCACAAAATTCAAAAGGGAAGACAACAACGGCTTAAAGTCACTACGCTAGAAAGTCACTGAGCTTCTATCAAAGACCATCTCCTGCACACCATAGCTTGGACTGGTTGTCCCACCTCTCCGTGGAAGCTCCTGGCTTTTAGAAATGGGCAGGTTGATCTGAGCCCAAAAAGAAGAGCTATAGAACCAAGGTTTAGAAATGAGGTAATGAATGCACCCAAGAGTACATTCACTGGATTAAATAACTCATTTGGAGGGCAACCTACATGACCCAAAGAACCCAAAACTTTGATAAGGAGCATTCTGGTGGCTGTACACTAGAACTTTCTGTAGTTGTTGTTGGTGCTCTCAAGGCAATTCCTACTCACAGTGACCCCATGTGACAGATCAGAACTGTCACAAGTTTTCTTGTCTGTAATCTTTTGGGAAGTCGATCGCCAGGTCTTTCTCCCAAGGCTGGATATGTTTGAACCACCAACCTTTAGGTAAGGTAGCTGAGCACTTAAACATTGTGCCACCAGGAACCAGTCTCAGATTTATTTACATTGCTTCATCAATTTCTGTGTTTCTTATTTCTGTTATTTAGATCCTACATATAAAAATAATCCTATAACTTGATTTCAGGTATTTTATCTATAGTAGTTCTGTAATGATTAACCGATTGTTCTTAACAGCTCCCTCAGGAGACCCCCCCAAAAAAGAAAATCACCCCAAAATTGCCTTGACTGGTACTAAGCTAAAATTTAAAAACTTTACTGCCTGAGGAGCAGACTAATTCAAACATTTTCTAGTATTATTATTGATATGCCACAAATATAAAACTTTTGCAGAACTTCTCTTCATTTACATTTTTATTAATTTAAAAGTTAATTTATATATCATTATAATTTTATTAAAGTTACCCAGAATCACAGCTGTGTTCTCAGTGGAAAGGATCATGAAGACCCATAATTCCAAAGGCCTCGTTGTATCAAGGAGGACGGTGTTTTTCTGTGACTTGCTCAAGGTCATGCTGACCCGGATGGAGTTGCTGGTGTGGGCGCTGGACCAGGCACCCATATAGCTAAGTCAGACAGAGCTCCTTCCGCTCCACCACACTTTTTATTTGCATAACCAAGAGCCTTCTGAGGAGTCTCCTTGGATTTGCCTAATAAATTCTTTGAGAGTCCAGTATTTAAAGCGGCTTTTTTATTCAGGGAAGCAATTCACCATATAAAATAACAATTCATTAAAGAAACGTGAGAAAAGAAAACAACTCAACAGCATTTCAAATGTCAATGGGCAAAAGGTAACCAAGGCAAAGCAACATATCACTGGATCATTGATTAAAACTGAAAAGCCTCCAACCTAATGACACTGTTTTCCACCACTTGGCCACAATTGTTTTCCACCTTAAAAAAAAAAAAAAAAAAAAACCTTACTATCCATCTTGAAACCCCTTCAGATTAATTTAGCAGGCAATGCCTAGTGCCTGCCTAGAAGAGAATTCATTGATAATTTATGGAAATATCTACTATGATCCAGTGGAGATGACTTTTTTCCAGCTTTGTGCATTCAATAGATAATCAAGGCCTTAAAGCAGCCTTAGCTTCCCATTACCTCAGGCAAAAGAATTCCTGAAAGCATGCCTTGAGGGCACCTGAATTATATACTCCATTAGGGGAGGAAGGCTTTCTGCATTCCATGTGTAACACTCACCAGAACCTTTCCTGTTTATTTCTGCTGTTTGAAAGCAGAAGCATTAGGAACAGAATTTTTTAAGTGAAGACTTATGTAGATACAATGGAGAAACCTTTCAAGCAGGAGCCAGATCACCCCTTCAGTCCCTGGCAGTGACCTCTCCCGAATAAAAGGTTTCTTTTACATCATTAGCTCAAGCCAAAAACAGCCTTGGCTTAATGCACAGTTTGTTCTTCCTACTGTTTTTAGGCAAATACAGCTACTTTACTCCCATCTGGGAGGGAAATTACACTGCTGGGTTGTAATCTAAGACAAGATTTTCATTGGAAGCAAATGCTTTCAATCCAGTGTAAACAGTGGTGCCTGTTCAGAAAAGCCTAAAACAATAAACCCTGCTCCTTTCCGACACGAGTTAGGGAAATGGAGAAGAGAGAGCATGATAAAACAGACTGTTCTAAAAGCAAACACTTTCATAGATTTTAATAAATTGTTTAACCTCTTCCACTTTCTAAAATTGCAAATTGATCTCGAGATGTCTCAACTTCAGACGAGAGTCTAAATGGTCAATTGTACCTTCAGCATTTCCATTCACTCTGCAATTTGATCCAGTCACCTCTATGCGGTCTCGGGAGGATTTATTTCCTTTTTTTATTTTTAAGATCACTAAACAAACTTGGAGAACCACCGGCCGACCACACGGCAGCAGGCAGCAGCTCTGAACCACATTTGTAAAATGTCAGCGGTGACTTCATTCCTGGAGCTGACTTCTCCTGCTGCCAAACGAAGGCAAACCGAAGAGGTGGAAATAATCATAAAAATGATGCTAGTCCATAAACAAGCTTACAGCCTCATTAGGATAGCGGTAGGCTCCAGTGGGTGATTTATGCTCGTTTTGCTGATGCTATGAGGAAGTGCCACGGGGCGACTTCAGCCAGCTGCTAATGGTTTCTGACAGCTTCTTAGCAACTAGTGCAAGCAACGTTGTGGCGTTTGCCAGTGACAGAAACCGAAAATGTCATATTATCTTCCTATATGTCATGAAGTCCATGTGGCAATTAACTAGCAGGCCAGTGACTGAGGGGCCAGAGGCTCCTGAAAATGGCCTTTGGCTATGCAGAGGCAGCCGACGGGCGCTGAGCGCTCATGGGCTGCATATATGCAACATTCTAATGCAGAAATCCACTTCCTGCGACTTCCTGGGCTCTGATGAGACTGGGCACTCAAATCCCCTTTTTCTCTCACGGAAGTGGAACTCTGGGCTCCTCTCTCTCCAGGCGCTGGCCCTGGCGTTGTCAGAATTCTCTACAACAATCTGCTTTGATATGATTATTCGAACGGCACCTTAATTGGCCATACCTTGTTCTGTGGGTTTTGGACGCTGGATTCAAAGGTGCTAGCTGTCTTCCTGTTCTCTCACAAATTAGTCTAAAAGGATTTAAGATCCCTGAAGCCGACTCCTTGCCTGTCAGATGGCTAGGAGTAGAGGAACTCTGCACAGGAACAAGACACTATTTAAGAAAATACCAGGCTTCTAACAAGCCGGAGGAGAATCTTGGCCCCACTTTTCAGTTTCCGAGCTATCAAAACCATGCACTATATGTCAAACTGTCAAACCTTTCAGCGTGGGCCATTTGCCCTTTCAAATAATATTTAAGAATTGTTTTTACAAAATTTTATAGGCCATGGTCTAGTGAAAGAGGCCAACCAACAAAGAAAGGAATTTGTACTACAATTCGTCTACGGACAATTTCTTGTGAGGCCTGGGCCTGTCCCCACGGAGCAAGGCAGGTGACCTGTGGCAGCTCCCAGGCTGTCAGAGAGCTCAGATTTCAAACACGCTCAACTCAAACATCCCGAGTCGCCTATTTAAGCATGCCCAGGCATTTAGACTGCGCTATCTTGTGCCTTTCAAGGCAGGATAAAGCGGCATTTACCGTATTCAGACATTCAATGCGTCAGGCTGACCGTGTCAGCAGGGGCTCCTCTCCGCTCCCATTTTCTGTCCCTACTCGCGCCCTCTCTCCCCCTAAGGCTGCCATTCCCAAAAACCTACCCCGAGTGAGGCAAAAACAAAAACCCCAAAAGCGCTTATGATTTACATCACAACTGATCGGAACTCCCAGGGTCAGTGGGCCATCAGGTATAAATGAAATGGGTTGTGTGTCAGAGGGTTCTTTATGTCATAGAGGCCTAACTCCTAATTAGGGATATGAACTTTCAACTGCCAGGGCAGACGAACGTGTAAGGTTGGGGATCCTCTTGTTTTGCTAGAAGCTACCTTAGCTTCCAGGCCATTTTCATTTACAATTTTTGTATTGAGACA